GAGTGGGGTGTTCCTTCTGGGAAGCAAGGAAAGCTCGAAAGTATGTCTAAGTATTAGCCTTTGATTCCTGCTAAGATGTGAGCATTGCCCTCACCTACAACGGGTCATACTTTAAGTCATTTAAAGAAAGTCAGGCACCTGGTGGGGTGGCGGGCAGGGCTCAGGCAGAGACGAGAGAACACGAGGACATGAGAGTTTTGGTCTGGACTGACCCCAGCACCTCAGCCACAAGGCCACCTCATGGGAACTTTACTGGAAGAAACTTCCCCAGACTGACTTTGGGAAGCTTCTGGAGACAGGGTTCCTAGCAGGCTGGGCTGTCACAGTCGACTTGCTCTCAAAGGCTCACTACAGGGAGGCTGGTCCCCCTTCCAGTGCTCCGGGTGACTGGGTTTCTGTGCTGCAGAGGGGTGGGATCCCTGCCAGACTCCCATTGCTGCTCCCCACAGCCCAGGCTGCTGGGTTCTGTCTCCCCTCCCGACCTGACTCTGAAAACCTGGCTTCCCCTGGCTCCCCACCCCTTCTGCTCCTGGGTTGTCTCCTGGGCCCCAGGCGGAGGTCCTGTCTTCACCTGCAGAACTCGTTCTTGCTGTAAGCTTAGGTGAGCCAGGCACTCACTTCTGTAACTGAATATGTGTCCCAGATTAGGGCTTTGTTCCCTTGGCTGTGAAAACCCTGGGAACTCCTGGGCTGGACAGCACTGCTCTGTTTACCTTACTGTGCTCTCCTCTCACTCTCTCTGTTTTTCTGGTTCTATCTCATTTCTTTGTCTCTTTTGAGAGAGAGGTGGAGAACAATTCTCTTTCTGCCTCCCAGGACAAGTAGGAAATTAAGCCCACCAGCGAGCTAAGCATCCTCAGTGATTCTGCGTCTTCCAGGCATCAGCGCTGCCTCTTAGTGGATGGCCGCTTGACAGTCCCCTCTCCTGAGATGGACCGGGCTGCCCGCCACCAATCCTCCTACCCTCCAAGCTGCTCAGTCCAGTCTGCCATGACTGACATGAGCTCATTTCCAAAAGAAAACTAAGAAACCACTCACATCTTCCCGTGCTGTGACCTCATCTCACGGATCCCCTCCACAGTCCCCCGAAGGGAGGCTGGGCAGGTGCAACAGGTTTGCAGCGAAAGGGACTCCGCCGAGGCCAGCAGCCCTGGAAGCAGATCGGTGCCCTGACTCACGGCCCAGCCCTTCCCACTACACCCAGGAAGGAACTGGCCAGCCTGACTTGGAGAGGCCTCCCGATCCTGGCCCAGTGCCTCTAGATGACTTCTCCCGCCCAGGGAGAGGCCTCTGGATTCATTCTGCCTTCAGTGATAAGCCTTATCCAGAAAGGAGGCAACCTGTAGCCTATAGTACAAGTCAAGCAAAGAATAAGACAAAGGTTAAAAAGCCCATTTTCAAACCCCATTTGCCATTCTTGCCTGGAACTTTGAATTCTTAATCCAATTCTGGCTTAATTTTAATTTAATTTTGCGGTGAACACCATCTGTTTAGATTCTGCATTTTGCATCAAACAGCGAGGGTCAGCTCCGAGGGAGGGTAGCACATTCTGGTACGGCTGCGGCTGCCAGTCCTGGAGATGTGGGTTGCCTCACTGCTCTCTCCCCTTTTTACCTTCATGCCCTGACTTCCTGTGTTTCTTCTGGAGCTAACGCTAATACCTACTCTTATGAATGTTGTGAAGACAGGCCGGGTGCGGTGGCCCATGCCTGTAATCCCAGCACTGTGGGAAGCCGAGGGGGGCAGATCACCTGAGGTCAGGAGTTTGAGACCAGCCTGGCTAACATGGTGAAACCCCGTCTCTATATTTAATTATATAAAAATATAAAAATTAGCTGGACTTGGTGATGCACACCTGTAATCCCAGCTACTCGGGAGGCTGAGGCAGAAGAATCACTTAAACCTGGGAGGCAGAGGTTGCAGTGAGCTGAGCTCTACCCACTGCACTCCAGCCTGGGTGACACAGTGAGACTCTGTCTCAAAAAAAAAAAAATAAAAAATTTAAAAAGGAATGTTATGAAGATAGAATTGCACCATCTATATGTTACTGCACCATCAAAATAGAATTAATATGATTCTAGGCACTTGGTAAGCATTCAAGTGTTTATTTGCTGCCATTATTTCTGTTTTCCTTTCCTATCTTCCCCCTTCTCTTCTCCCCCTTCTCTCTGCAGATGACTTTGCTCCTTGCTCCTAGCTGTCTCCTTGTCCCCCATAGCATGACATTTCTCTGTCCAGATAAGGTGGGGTTTCCCTGCATCCCAAGCCTGGTGGCTGTGTCCCCTGACTCCCTGGAGGAGGCACCAGGCACAGGGGTACCTCTTTTCTTTTCTTTCTTTTTGTTTTCGAGACAGGGTCTCGCTCTGTCATCCAGGCTGGAGTGCAGTGATGCCATCTCAGCTCACTGCAACCTCCACCTCCCAGGTTCAAGTGATTCTCCTGCCTCATCCTCCCTAGTAGCTGGGATTACAGGTGACTGCCACCACACCCAGTTAATTTTTTGTATTTTTAGTAGGGAAGGGTTCTACCATGTTGGCCAGGCTGGTCTCGAACTCCCAGCCTCAGGTGATCCTCCCACTTTAGCCTCCCAAAGTGCTTGGATTACAGTTGTGAGCCACTGCGCCTGGCGTCTTTTTTTTCTTTTTTGAAATAAGGTCTTGCTCTGTTGCCCAGGCTAGAGTGCAGGGGCACAGTCATGGCTCACTGCAGTCTCCACCTGGGCTGAAGTGATCCTCCTGCCTCAGCCTCCCAAGTAGCTGGGACTACAGGTGCATGCCACCATGCCTAGCTAATTTTATTTATTTTCTTTTTTTTAGAGATCAGGTCTGACTGTGTTGCCCAGGCCAGTCTTGAACTCCTGGGCTCAAGCCATCCTCCTGCCCCAGACTCCCAAAGTGTTGGGATTATAATCATGAGCCACCATGCCTGGCTGAGGGGTACCTCTTAAACCAAGGTCTCATGGCCTCCTTGTGCCCTGTGAGCTGAGCCATGATCATGGGGTCATGAGAAGCCTAAAGGAGGAAGGATGAAACAGGTTTTGGGGCAGCAGGACACATGCGTCGGTGTCCCTAGGCGAGGCAGTGCCTGCTTCAAGCTCTTGGGACCCCTCTGAATACCAGTGACCAAGGTGAAGTGCCTGAGATAACTGATTACTCTGAAAAAGCACTTTGTAAACTTTTGAGTACAGTGTACATGTTAGCATCACACCAGGCTGTCTCCCTCTCTCTGTGCCTGAAGTTTTAATGAATGAAGGTAGCGTGGTCTGAAACTTTCATTGCTCACTTTTTTAGAAGAGATTCTTGAGGGATTTCAGCAGCGGCATCCCTCCCTCTGCCTGACCCACCGCCTCAGTGTCTGAGCCTCCTGGGCCTCCACGGAAGTGTCTCTAAGCCCCAAGTTCCTTTGCACAGTTTTTTGGGGTTTTGTTTTTTTTGTTTTTGTTTTTGAGACAGAGTCTCGGTCTTTTGCCCAGGCTGGAGTGTAGTGGTGCGATCTGGGCTCACTGCAACCTCCGCCTCCCGGGTTCAAGTGATTCTCCTGCCTCAGCCTCCTGAGTGGCTGGGATTATAGGCACACGCCACCACGTCTAGCTAATTTTTTGTAGAGTTGGGGTTTCGCTATGTTGGCCAGGCTGTTCTTGAACACCTGCCCTCAGGTGATCAGCCCACCTTGGGCTCCCAAAGTGCTGGGACCTCAGGTGTGAGCCACCATGCCCGACCCCTTTTCTCAGTTTTGGAACCCAATTTTTTTTTCCCACAGAAAGTGCTTGTTTTCCTCCATCTCTGGTGTAGCAATTCCCAGGCAGTTCCTACCCAGTAAATACCTGACCATGGCCACATGGATGTTCAATGCCCCTCCCTCAAGTGACGCACTTCAGATCCTCTAGTCAGGCAGGGTAGGACTCCCTCAGGGTCCTGGCCTGGCACCAGGGACACCCCTCAAGCTGTTGGTGGGGCACTTGCGGCTCAGAGTCTGAGTCTCCTCATCTTCCCTGGCAGCTACCCCTCTTCCTGGTGAGCCTGGCTCCCGCCACCCTGCCCTTCCCAAAGGGAAAATCTAATCATGTCACTCCAGCCCTCAAGAGGAAGTCCTGGCTCTTTAACCTGGCTTACCGTGCCCCTTAGGATCTAGGCCCTCCTCTCCTCTCCACTTCCATTCCCTCTTATCTGGCAAGCTCCTACTTATTCTGACCGACCTAGGCCAGACATCACCCCTTCCAGGAAGCCCTCCCTGATTGAACCCCTGCCCACCCCAGTCTGTATGTTTATCTGCCTCCCTGCTGGGCTATGTATTTCCAACATGGCCCTGAGTTGGTTCTCAGCTGTTAGCACATGACACAGTGTTACCGAACACATGTCACCCTGCTTTCGGGAAACCCTTCCTATCCTGTGGCTGTGGCTTTTTCAGGAAGCCCCTCTTGGAACAGAGGGGAACCCCAAACTGCCTTGGGTGTGAGAGGCCTGGACTGACGGCCTTGAGTGCTGCTGGCCGGTGTGTCCCTCCTCAGGCAGGGAGGGCCCTGCCACACCCTGCACTTCCTTTCATTGTGCCTCCCTTCCTGTTTAGCTAGACTGTTAGGCTGGAGGCATTTTTCCTCCCTTTCAGGACCTGAATGGAGCTATTTCTCCTTCCATCTCCGCCAACATCTCCCAGGACCCACCTCTGACCCACTAGTGGGCTCGGGCATCAACAGCTTTGGGTTCTAATCCCAGCTGTCCCCATTCAGCTGGGTGTTGAGAAGCCAGGGTCTCACCTCTCTGGACCTCAGTTTCCTCACACATAAAAAGAGAAGTAACAAGGCAGCTCGAGTGGGATTTTGAGGGTTGAATGAGCTAAGGATGTCCGTGCTTCTGGGAAGTGTGAGCCGTGGCTGTGTCATCCTGTCCCTGACCCCGCTGATGTGTGGGCTCGGTGGAGAGCCCAGCTGGGTGCTCACTGGATGCCTGCAAGTCCAAACATCCTGTTCTCTTTTGAACTGCTCACTGGAGAAACAGGGAAAAGCTGTAGTTTTTTCCTTCCACTCATATCGAGTGACACAAAAAAACACAAGCCTATCTGGGCCGAGCTGCTTGACTCTCTGATGTTTGGGAGCAGATCTGAGCAGCTGAGCAGGGTGGCGGTTCCTTTCCTGGATTAGGGCTGAGTCTGTGGGAACCAGACCACCCCTGAGACAGGAGGCGGCCCTCATGCCTCCCCAGGGCCTGGGCCTGCAGCGAAGCCCCTTCGTCCTGGCGAAGTGTGGCCCGGGGCTCACATCTTCCCCACCCCTCATGCCTTCTTCCCTGCAGGTGAACTTCCACAGCCCCCGGAGTAGCCAGAGGTGCTGGGCTGCACGGACCCAGGTGGAGAAGCGGCTGGTGGTGCTGGTGGCACTTCTGGCGGCAGGACTGGTGGCCTGCTTGGCAGCACTGGGCATCCAGTACCAGACAAGTAGGTGCCTCTGTGTTGCATGGTGGGCTTGACTGACTCCTGCCCCCCGGCTCTGTCAACTTGGGCAAGGGGGCTTCCCTGCTTATGCCGGGACAGGCCTCTGAGGCCAAGGAGGGAGCCGGTCCCAGAGCATCTGGGTGCTGAGATGGGCCAAGACCTGGGAAGTGGGCAGTATGGGTGGTATAAAGGTCTCGCACTTGAGTCCACATCCTAGCAACGTACTGGCTGTGTGACCTTGGACAAGTCGCTTACTCTCTCAGCCCATGTCTTCTCAAATTTAAATGGGAAAACAGTGCCCAATTGGGGGATGGCTCTGGGACTAGAGATAACATATGTCACGCAGCTGGACTTCTTCAGCGTTAGCTCTGGGTGCTGTTGCTGCTGGGATGTGGGGTAATTACACACATAGGCTGACACCCTCTGCCGTCTCTAGTTCCAATAAAGTAACAGTAGTGCCCTCTGTTTACTGAATTTGTTCCTCAGACCAAATACCGCACCCCTCACTTCTCATTTTCCTCCTTGAGACAGCCCTGTGAGGTGTGGTTACTTTCGGCCCCCTTTCCATATTAGGAAACTGAGGCATTGAGGTGGAGTGACTTGCTCAAGGTTACGTGGCTAATGGGGGATTGAGTGGGCGCTTGAATGCGGAGGTTGGAATTCACCCACAGGGTACTGGGCTCCAGTCCAGGCTCCACCTCCCTCTGTAATCCTGGTATGCTCCAGAGCACATTAGCACCCCCAGGAGAGCTGCCCTTCCGGGATCCAGCTGCCCTTTGTGTTCCTTGGTAGGTGCCTTTGTCTGTCCACTTTGAATGGTGATACAGTTGCGCCCCTCTAATCCTGCTGCAGGGGCTGAGACTGGTTCTCTGTGTCCAACTGAGCCGATCCAGCCAGGCGCCTCACACAGAGTTGATGCTCAATAAACACAAAGTTGGAAAGGCTGGATCCAAGTTAGAAATGAGGATGGGGAATTAGCCAACTCCAGGATCTCTCAGTCCTCTGTGCCCCAACATCTGTTCTTCCGATGGCAGATGGCTCACCCGGTTGAGCAGCCTCTGGGGCCTCTGCTCAGCGTCCACCCACTGACTCAGTCACTCACCCCATGAGGGAGATTAGGAGCATTCATGGGATCTGGGAACCTCCCTTCCAGGCTGTGTTGAACCTTCCCTGCTCTGAAGTTGCTGGCCTGCGAGGGTGGCCACACTGTGCTGGGGTGGGGAGGGGACTTGGGGACCTAGAAAAGAGCAGGAACTTCATCTGAGTTGTTCTTCCATCCCTTCTGGGTTAGGCACATAGGTATTCACTCATGCCACAAACATAGGTTGTACTTAAGAAATAATTGCTTGATTAGTTAACTGACTGTCTAATGGTTTATAGGTGTTTTACCAAATGTGCCTGGCTCAGCAGGTGCTTAATACATATTTGATTAATTAATGACTCATTTTCAGGCCCTTAACCACGTGTGCTTAGCATAGTGCCTATGCCTTAGGTGTGCAGATGGTAAAATGAATAATGTTTGAATGAACAAAGGGGTAAGAAGGAAGATGGAGCTGGGAACAGCCTTTTTCTGCTGAGTGTGTGTGTTGTGTGATTGTGTCCTGGTGTGTGTGTATGTGTGCGCCTCCTCTACCAACAGGACACAAGCTCATTATCCTCTCCTGCGACTGCCTTCTCGCCTCATCCTGAATCAGCTGTAGTTCAGAACCTCCTGCTGGTCAGTGTGGGCCCTGGCCAGCTCCCATCTATACAGCTCTTGGCTCAGAGCAGCAGGCGCAGGCCAGACTCCAGCAGCCAGTGTTGCCCTGAGACTGTCCCTGGGAGTTCCCAAGATATGTCTTCACCGGAAACCAGGAGGTAGTCCTCAAGGGCCAGCTCCTGATGATCAGACCCAAAACATTTCTGTTGTTATTGCCCGGTGGGGCCACTTGGGAGGCATCTTGCTTCTGCCTCTGTTGTGTCCCTCTCAGGGTCTCCGAAGGGTTTTCTGCAGCCTGGACCTGGGAGAGGAACATTCTTCCCCTGGAGTAGAGCTGGGCAGAGGATCAGGTGACCTCTGAGTCACCTGGGAAAGCAGTGGCCACCCCAGATATTGACAGTAACCTCGTTACCCAGGAAGAGGTGCCTGTGCTGGCCGTGTCTGAGCAAACATCCGGCCAGTCAAAGCAAATCTTCTGGCCAGGTGCAGTGGCTCACGCCTGTAATCTTAGCACTTTGGGAGGCCAAGGTAGGCGGATCACCTGAGGTCAAGAGTTTGAGAACAGCCTAACCAATATGGCAAAACCCCGTCTCTACTAAAAATACAAAAATTAGCAAGGCATGGTGGTGCACATCTGGGAGGCTGAGGCAGGAGAGTTGCTTGAACCCAGGAGGCAGAGGTTGCAGTGAGCTGAGATCGCGCCACTGTACTCCAGCCTGGGCAACAGAGCGAGACTCTAAAATAATAAAGTAAAATAAAAATGCAAATCTTCTGATGATTGTGAAAGGCTAGCCTATGGGAATGTCTGGTCACTTAGTACATTTTTACTTACCTTTCTACTGCACTTCCCTTTCCAGAAACATGCTGGTGCTTTGCAAACAGAGGCAGCGAAACAAACAATACATTTTCCAAGAACATATTTTAAGGAAAGCATCCTACACAGTTTTGAGACCAGGAACTCTCCAGATGAGGGTCTGTAAATTAAATCTAGGATCTGTTCCTGCCTTCTCAATTGATCTTGCATGTCCCAAAGGAAAGAAATGTTTGCTGCCTCTGCAGATGGGGAACAAGTGCTGAATAAGGTCTTTCATTTATTTGATTGTTCATTCAAAAGACGTATTGAAGCCAGGTGTGGTGGCTTATGCCCGCAGTGCCAGCACTTTGGGAGGCTGAGGCGGGTGGATCACCTGAGGTCAAGAGTTCGAGACCAACCTGGCCAACAAGGTGAAACCTCATCTCTACTAAAAATACAAAATTTAGCCAGGTATGTTGGCAGGTTCCTGTAATCCCAGCTACTAGGGAGGCTGAGGCAGGAGAATCACTTGAACCCAGGAGGCGGAGGTTGCAGTGAGCTGAGATTGTGCCATTGCACTCCAGCCTGGGCAACAAGAGCAAAAACTCTGTCTCAGAAAAAAAAGGCACTTACTGAATAGCTGCTAGTTGCCAAATACAATGCTAGGCAATGGAAATATAAAAGCACGTAGGATACTGACCTGCCTTCAAGTTCACATTCTGCTAGAAGAGATTGACAAGGAGCTGACTATGACATAGCACAGTCTGTGCTAGAATTGCAGACACCCAGCCCACTGAGGGACACAGAAGGGAGGGGGTCTGGAAGGTTTCCCTAAGGAGATGGGGCTTTAGATGAGGGGGCCTGGAAACCATTAAGTCATCAAAATGCATGAAGAACTTCCTGGGTCAGGAATACTTCATGCAGTTTCTATAAACCAGTGAATAGTTAAATCATAAGGCCATTGCTGCTTAAGCACCTTGCAGGTTCCTGCCCAGTGTCCAGCAAAGTAGCCACTTAGTGAAGAACTCAAACCTCTGAGACTGACTTTGTTTTTTTTGAGACAGAGTCTCACTCTTGTCGCCAAGGCTGGAGTTCAGTGGCGCGATCGGCCCACTGCAACCTCTGCCTCCCGGGTTCAAAAGATTCTCCTGCCTCAGCCTCCCAAGTAGCTGGGATTACAGGCGCCCGCCATCATGCCCAGCTAATTTTTGTATTTATAGTAGAGACAGCATTCCACCATGTTGACCAGGCTGGTCTTGAACTCCTGACCTCAGCTGATCCACCCACCTCGGCCTCCCAAAGTGCTGGAATTACAGGCATGGGCCACTGTGCCTGGCGTCTGAAACTGACTTCTGGGATTAGCTTCTTGCTTTGTTTTTAAGTCCCTGTGTGATAACAGCAAAAACCTTAATCAGTTAATCAGTCTGTCTCTGTCTCACACACGGACACGTACACGGAGATTCTGACGTGTCTTCCTGCGTTAGGCTCACTCTCTCAGCCTGTCTCCTGGGCATCTCCACCGGCCGAGATATTGTAAAGTTTTCCTTCCTGTGGTTTGATGTATGAAAACAATAGGTATTCTTTTCCTTCTCCAAATATGGAGTTATACCATAATACTCAACAGGCTCTGTCAGCCTACATAGACATTCTCTCCTGCCCCATAAAGATTCTGGTGCCCCCCTACCCTGAGTTTGGGAGCAGAGCATGCAACTGTGATTAGGATGATTTGATTTAGAGATATTTAAAATGTCACCATCACCCCCACCATTTCCTTTCTCTGTTTTCATGTGTAATCACTCCATAGTTTTTTATGGCACACCTCTCGGCTCTGAACAATAATTTTTAATTGTTGTGTAATTATCGCAAGTCAGATCACCCTGATTTTCCTGCTGTTGTGCAGCTGTGCTGAGCCCTTTGTCAGCCACCCATGTGAAGGACTTTGTGTTTGTCATCATGTGTTAACAAGCCCACAAGTGAACCCCTGCCCGCTGGCCTTCTGTTCATGAGTGAGGTGAACACTGTCCCTGCTGGCCTGTGCGTTCTTTGCTGTTCTCTAAACACTGGCCTGGGACTTCAGACCCTGAGACTTGAGGAAGCTGAGCCTCCATGCCCGGCCATGGCCATCATCACTGTGAAATTGGTCTTACCTTTCTTCCTAACTTTTAGATAGAGAAACTGAGGCATGGAGAGATGAGGTCACTTGCCCAAAACCCCCACTGGCAGAAGTAGAAAGCTGGATTGAACCCAGGCCTAGCAGCCTCCAACCCTGCCTCACTGCCTCCCTGTGCGGTGGGGAAACGGATCTCAGCAGTCAGGCCACACCAGCCCATGGTATGACCGGCAAAGAGGCGGAGAAGGAAAGCAGAAAAGCACAGCCTTGGCGTGGCTGGACTGAGACAGGCCTGGGCCCAGCTTTCAGCCCTCCGCCCTCCCACACAGTGGGTGGCCTTGTCCCGTTCATTCCCTCAGTTTCCTCATCTTTAACCAGGAACTTGATGGCTGCATCTGGTGGCTGTAATGAGTAAATGAGATCCTGAATGTGTGCAAAGGGCCGGGTGCAGGGCCATGTTCAATGAAGCCCCTTTGGCCGTCAGCACAGCCTGGGTGGATGGACGATTGGGCTGGGCCTGTGATTCTCGGGCCTGCACAGTCAGCTTCGTTTTGGTGCTGTAGGCCAGGCCTCTGCGCAGGGCACCCAGGCTTTTCCTTTGGGAGAGCTCAGCCCCCAACCTTGAGGCAGGGATCTGGTCCTTTCCTCTTGCCTCTGGCAAACCAGTCTCTTAGGGTTGTTCAGCCTTTGGGTTTTTGAGGATTCCTTGAGGTCACTCACTCTCCCGCTTGTAGGCAGGAGTGAGTTTTCATATTTCCTCCTTTTATTCCTAATAGACTTTCCTTCTTCCTGTGCCCTGTCACCCATGTTGTAAGCATCACCCTCTTAGCACATGGTAAACGTTCGGTTTATTTTTGCAGAAAGGGCTGGCATTTCTCCTACTGTTCCCTTTTGATTTTTGTGTATATCTCCAACTGAATTGTTAGCTCCTGGATTAAAGGACTCTGCCTTTTTATGCCCAGTACCCCAGTACTCCCCACACACACATGCATGGGCACACACTTGCACACCGGCACACACACACACACGCACTCCATCCTCAGCAAAGAACCTGGAAGATAGTCATTATCTCGCTGAATAAATGAATGCATGCATGAATGATAAATATGTTGAGCGTCAAGGAATAATGAAGAGTTAATGAATATTTATGGAGGGAAAGGTTGATTAAGAGAAACACCTGGTTCTGGGGACCTTTTAGCCATAGGAGGGATTTTAGACAGCTGAGTAGAAGCCTTGTGTAATAAGCCAGCAAATTGTAAATGGGTGGAAATCATTTCTCTGCAGGGGTCTAGTGACTGTCTAATTCCAAATCTGTGTGGTCAGGGCCGGGGTGGAACATGTGTCCCCAGAGCCACATGTTCTGCCCTCCCTCCCTCTTTCCTGCCTGCCCTTCACTGACTCTTATCCTTGACCCCTCCAGGATCCCCCTCTGTGTGCCTGAGCGAAGCCTGTGTCTCAGTGACCAGCTCCATCTTGAGCTCCATGGACCCCACGGTGGACCCCTGCCAGGACTTCTTCAGCTACGCCTGTGGGGGCTGGATCAAGGCCAACCCAGTCCCTGATGGCCATTCACGCTGGGGGACCTTCAGCAACCTCTGGGAACACAACCAGGCGATCATCAAGCACCTCCTCGGTAAGCACCCAGCATGGAGACCGGTGAATGGGCCACAGAGGGGAGCTGTCAGCTGGACCTTCCCAGCTGCTCCTGGTTAAAGGAGGAGCTTGGCAGAACAGGCGTGGTGGCTCACGCCAATAATCCCAGCAATTTGAGAGGCCAAGCTGGGGTGGATCACTTGAGGCCAAGAGTTCAAGATCAGCCTGGCCAACATGGCAAAACCCCGTCTCTACTAAAAATACAAAAATTAGCTAAGCGTGATGGCATGTGCCTGTAGTCCCAACTACTCAGGAGGCTGAGGCAGGAGATTCACTTGAACCTGGGAGGCGGAGGTTGCAGTGAGCCGAGATCATGCCACTGCACTCCAGCCTGGGCAACAGAGTGGAGTAAAAAATAAAAAATAAAAAAAGAGGAGCTTGGCGGAATGGAAGATCCTAGACTTGGGAGTAGGTGAAGCTGGGTTGGAATGTCTGCCCTCAATCATCGTATGATGCTGGGTAAGTCACATACCTCTGAACCTCAGTTTCTTCATCTGTAAAATGAGACTCATAAGACCCAAGCTGCAGAGTCTTGAAAACTAGAGAGCACACGTGTAAAGCATTAGCAATGTGTGTGTGGCACATAGGGTGTGCATCAGAACTGGGGCTGTGGTCGTTGCTTTTGTGGCTTCAAGTTTGGCAAAGCTTTTGACTAGTGTTGACTGTGAGTTTTGAAAGTTGTGAGCAAAACGGATCGAGGCTGAACACACTAGATCAGATTCTAGGGTTGTGATCCGCTGTAAGTTCTAACAACAGCTCATCAGAGAGTTATTCAGTGAGGTGGGAATCATCCTTGGCCTCACAGTGATCAGGCTTGCATGATAAGCCGTCTGGTTAGAGTTCTCTTTGTGTTTCACTAGGCCTTTGGCACCTCTAGTTCACCCCCATGTTGATGGTTTTATCCTCAGATTAGAGTCCCACGTCTGTCTTGTTTGCAGCTGTATCCCTAGTTAATGTTTGTTAAATTCCCATCCGCCCACTAGGCTCCTCCTCCAGTATGAAATCACAACACCCACACTGTACCACAGGGCCGCTCACCTGAACCCTCCACAACTGGAACCGTGGCCATCTCCCTCTCCTGCTGTCCCCTGCTCCATCCTGGGACCCTTAACGCTGGGAGAGGCTGGATTCTGAAAAGCCAGTCAATTTTGCCATCAACAACAGAAATTAGATCCGACAAATACTTACTTTCTTAAAAAACCTTTAAGATATTTAAAGGTAGGTACAATAGAAGATGCCCAAAAGGGGACAAATCTTCTCAAAGGGACAGAAAGCTTAAGAGATAGGAAATTATTCTAAATGGACAATTACCAATTTAAGGCAACTCAGTCTTTTAGATTACAGGGAAAGTAGACAAACCAGGTGAAAGACACCTTTGCTTTCCTTCCTGCCCCAGCCCCGCAGGGTAGAGCAACTGCTAGGTGAGACCTAACCCGCCCTTCCTCCTGGTCCCCCGCAGCTCCTGAAGCAGCAGTAGCCGCCTTTGGCCTGACTCCCCGAGGATGAGAGCAGGGTGGTGTGTATTGAGGTAGAGTTGAGGCTCAGCATGTCCAAAGCAGCAAAGCCCCAGCCTGAGATGTCCCCCTGCCTGCCTTATGCCACCAAAGTGCCCTTGAAAGGGGATGATGCAGCCTTTCATTTTAGAACTAGATGCTTAAAAGGCGAGCATGTTTGTCATTGCAAGACTGGAAATCGAGGACGTCTCTTCTCCAGCGCCTTACATCACAGCCGGGGGCTTGGCAGGGCCTATAGTCCAGGTAGTGTTAACAAGGTGGGTCGGTCCCTCTGCTTCAGAGTCACCAGGACCTGGGTTCAAATCCTAACTGTGCCACTTACTATGAGGTCTTGGGTCAATTACATAACCTCCCTGGCTTGTTTTCTTGTTAGTACTGTGGGAACCAGGCCTCCTCTGAATTTTGAAAATTAAATGGGAAATACATTTAAATGTATTTAAACCATACCTAGGCCTGGCATGTGGTGTTTGTATTGATGTTACTGTTATTATTCACCCTTGACCTTTACACAACACTTGATAGGTTACAGAACTGTTTGGTAGATGCCATCCCATTGGATCCTGCAGGGTGGAAGTTAGGAAGGTATGGTTCACTCCATTGGTAGATGAGGAAAGCGAGGTCTGGAGAGGTCCTCATGATAGGCTGGTGAGTGGCAGAGCTGGAACTTCCCTGACACCTGGTCATGTGTGCTTTCCCCTGTCCCACACCACCTCCTTCATGTACAAGGGACAGACATAGCCCGCTTTCCACAGTGTCTGCAAGAACCTGCAGGGAGTGCAGAGCCTGGGGCCCAAAGGAGGGAGAGACACTGATGTCCACCCTGTGCTGTGCACTGTACCAGGCTCTTTAGAGCCACTGCCCCCTTACCCTTCACAACCCCAGACTTCGGAATTGTCGTTCTCATTTTATAGATGCAGAAGTTGCGGCTCCCAGAAGTTAAGTGACTTTGTCAAGGACATACCACCAATCCAAAATGGAGAGGGGCTCATGCTTTGGGGAGCAGTTAGCGTTTAGAGGGGAGGAGGCAGGAGAGTGGACAGGCCCTCTAACTTCCCAGTTAGGTCTAGAATGGGGTCTTGGGTATCGTGTGGGTTCTGATCCCACTGGTTCTGGGGCTGGCTGTCATCGAGAGAGCCTTAGGTCTGGGCCAAGATTGAGTCTATCCCCACTGTCCCTGAGGGTCAAGCCGTGGGTGGGGAACTGCACCAAATGGGGCATGGAACAGCCAGAATCATACATTTAACCCTGACTCCAAGGCCAGGGTCTGGTGATACCAGGAGGCCAGACCGCAGAGTTTTGAATCCCAGCAGTCCTGGTGTTTTAGCTGCTTATCACCATGTGGCCTTGGACAAGTGGCCTGGCTTCTCTCCCACTTAGTTTCACTATCTGTATAATAGGGATAATGATGCTTCCTAACACATCTGATTACTGTGAGTATTGACTTGCCTGGGATAGTTCAAAGTGCTCAGCTCAGAGCCTGGCACTTAATAAGTGCTCAGCAAGGCACAGCTGCCCTCCTAGTGGTGTTAGGTGAGTTCCAACCCAGACTTCTTACAAACAAGCTGTATGACTGCAGAGCAGTCACCCAGGTTTCTAGGTCCTCGGCTCATCGCCTGTAAAGTGGGAGCTAACTCAAACTCAGATCATTAGTGGGGCTGCTCTAAGGGTTAATTGGGTAGTCAAAGAGCAGAGTCATTGGTGCTTATTTATGTCTTAGAGGAGCAGTGGTGTGGGCCCAGTTATCAGGAAGGAGGCGCAGAGTACAATGATGACACACTGAGTATTTCATTTGGATTACTTCTTTGAATTGTCATGGTGAATTCATGGAGCAGGCTGTATTTGCCCATTTTACAGATGAGACTCATGAATATGAAGGAAATGTATTTCCCAGGAAAGGGTGAGGCTGGCATTAGACCCAGAGCTGTAGGGCCTCAAAATCTGTGTTCTTTATCTACTCACTCCACTGTCAGATTCACCAGGGAGAGACCCTGGGTTGGCACTGCTTGCAGGGAGAGCAGCCAAGAAGCGTGGTTTGCCTGCCTCCTTTCCCCAGTGGCTGTTTCCCTGTGCTCTCAGGCCAGGCCAGCGGAGCCCCAGCCCAGGTCTGATGAACAAGAAGCTGGGGTCACCCTGTGTCATACTGACCAGGGGCTTCCCCAGAAAGCCTGTCCTGGAGTCCCCTCCCCCAAGGCTCACTCCTTGGAACTAGTCTGGAAACAGCCCCTCACCTGTGGGCCTTGATACCTGGGGCTTTGATACATGGAAACTCCTGAAGGGGCAGATGGCAAGTGAGTGGGTGACAAAAAAATGCAGGCATGTGGACCGTGCATTCTTGAGCTTAAGGCCAGGCTGGGTTCAGCCTCTCCAAGACAAAGGGGTCAGCCAGCAGGCCTCGGAAGAGAGCCAGAGCTGATGGGCACGGGAACAAGCCGGGGGTGCCCAGGCCACTCTGACCTGCAGAGGGGAGGGCTTCCCTCTAGGCAGAGAGGGGAAGAAGGACATTCAGAGCATCATTGTGGATTGCATCAGCCTGTCCGGCAGGATGGCTGTTACCATCTGCTTGTGTGACCTTGGGCAAGCCATGCATTTCTCTGCCAGGTGAATTCATGCTAGCCCCCTCAGAGGAAATCCAGGCAGATCTGTAGCAGGTGGGCCGAACTAGGCCACGTGCCACCGTGGCATGACCTGGCAGTCTTCCAGCTGGGGATGGTGACCTCAGCTGCAGGACACGGATGCCTCATACCACACTCTGCCACTCCCCCAAGTGGCCAACGTGAACTGTCCTTGTAGGTTTTGAAGAGACGAGAGTGGGTGGCCTCACTTCATCAGAGGAAGGAAACAGCCAGGCCCTTCCATGCTTAGACTTGGCCCTGCTTTGGGCTTTCCAACTGCACTTGTAGCTCAGATTATTCCACCTGCTAGAGTGCCTGCACCACCCCCTCCAAAGCCTCCAAGACTTTTCCCAAAGCTGCTTCCTCCATTGCCTTCCTTCCATGGCTACCAAAGGGTCTCTGTAGGCTTGAGCTACAATTACACTGTGTGTACCTGTCATGTTGGCTTTGCTATATTTTATACTATAAGATGAATGCATAAAAAAATCAGCGTATGCTTATTGTGACAATTCAAGCAACAGAGATTCCATAAAGGAAAAACTAGCAGTCTGCCTTCCTTCTACCCCAGAAATATGTGTATTTCTCCCTGGGAAATACACATAAAATATTCCAATAGCATTAAATGTGTCCATGTCAGTGATTTGGCAGTTAATTGTGTCACCCTGTGACATCTCTCATATTTTCATTTTGACATGTTTTCCCAATATCTGCTGTCTAATTGAGTTTCATCTTCCTGTGCATATTGGAAGGAAGCATCTATGGACAGGATCTGCATTACAAATGCTTTCTATCCAGCATGGTGTCTGCTGGAGTGGGTGCTGCCTTCCCTTTGGGGAATGGTTACATAGACTGGT